CACATGTGCCTAAGAAAATAGTAAAAGTCTAATAAATCCTTGTAGAATGAAGGAAACGTCAAAGCTTGAGCTTTTTCTCCATTTTACTAAAGTTCATTTTCATTACTAAGTATTATTACTTAAAAAATGAACTTTATCCTCATTTGCCATATAAGCAGCCCAGACATATTCTCTCTCTCTCTCTGTCTCTCTCTCTCTCTCTCTCTCTCTCTCTCCCTCTCTTTCTCTCAACTGGCCCACCCCTTGTTTGGAATATATTTTCAATAAACCCCATTTTGCTTTATTTAAAAAAAAAAAATGAACATTTTGCATAGAAAATGCAATAATAATAAAACAATATCATTAAAATGCCTTCACAATATATTTGCCTAGAAAACCAGTGTCTTTAAATAAAGAATAAAGATCAAGAAGATAAACTTTAGTTATAACACATAATTCAATGCACCCTCCTTGTCATCTCCTACTTTTTTTTTTTAATATGATTTTTTATTGATTTTTTTTACAGAGAGGAAAGGAGAGGGATAGAGAGCCAGAAACATTGATGAGAAAGAAACACCAATCAGCTGCCTCCCGCACATCTCCCAACTGGGGATGTGCCAGCAACCAAGGCACATGCCTTTGACCGGAATCGAACCTGGGACCCTTCAGTCCGCAGGTCGACGCTCTATCCAGTTAGGGTTCATCTCTTGCTTTTATGGTTTCTCGTTTCTTTTAATTTTTTAAAAATACATTTTTATTAATTTTTGAGGGAGAGAAGAAGGAAGAGGGAGAATAGAGAGAGAGGGAGAGAGAGAGAAATATTGATGTGTGAGAGAAACATAAACCAGTTGGGGACAAAACCCACAATCTGTGACCTAACTAGGAATCAAATTGGTGACCTTTAGTGGATGGGAAAACACTCAACCAACTGAGCCACACTGGCCAAGGAACTTATGGTTTCTTTGCAGCAGTGTGTCATTAGTATTATTACTGAAACTCCTTTTTTTTTTTTTTTTTTAAATCATTAGCTTCTTTATGAGGAACAAAATGAAAAACAAAAGAAAAACAAACAAATCTAAGAACAAAGAGTTCTATCTACCCTCAATTAGAGCAGATGTCTTCTTTCCCCTATTTGCTCAATTGCATCTACCTGATTTAATGCTTTTTATACAGAATTATCTTCCTCTCAATATCACCAAGTATAGATTCAAAGCAAAACAATTTTAATCAAATTCACAGGCAGATTATAGTCGCCTCGCCACTTCCTCTTATCGCAATTGACCAGAACTGTGGTACTGCCGTGCTTTATAGAGCTTTAGAATAATTTTCTTTGATGCACAGTTCATATCATTTTGAAATGATATGGCCTGTTTAAAAATATGTTTCATAAAATCAATTCTTTCTCCTGTCTTAATAACTCAAGAATATTGGACAGTATAATATTTTAAAGTTATTTATTTCCATCTTTTTGCCTTTGAAATTTCTTTTATATTGAAATTTGAAAAAAACGCTATTAATTTTCATCTGTGTTTCAAAGTAACTTTACTTATCCCAAAATATTTTAAAAATACTACAAAGCATATATCATCTGCAGTTATCTTTCAAAATGTCTCCTAGATATAGTCAAAATTAGCAAAAGCAGTTAATCCAAAATACAAAGAATTTTATAGTAAAATTGAAAATGTTGATTTTTTTTAAAGTTTACAAATCATCTTTAAAAATTTTAAGGTATAACATGTACTCAGAAAAGTATATAAAAATTTGGCAGTCTAGACAAGGATAATAATAATAATAATAATATTAATAGAATGAACACCCATTATCTTAATATATAAAATATTAATCAGTATCTTAGAAACTATTTTAATATCCCTGCTAGCTGGATAACTCTTTTTCCCATCACAAGAGGTAACTGCTATTTCCTTGCTTTTCTTAATAATTTGTACTATTTATCCCTTAGCAGTTTCACATTTATTGTTTTGGAAACCTAAATGATAAATCCAAACTTTGGTATGTGGTATGCCAGTAGTCGGCAAACTCATTAGTCAACAGAGCCAAATATCAACAGTACAATGATTGAAATTTCTCTTGAGAGCCAAATTTTTTAAACTTAAACTTCTAACGCCACTTCTTCAAAACAGACTCACCCAGGCCGTGATATTTTGTGGAAGAGCCACAGTCAGGGGGGCCAAAGAGCCACATGTGGCTCTCGAGTCGCAGATTGCCAACTACGGTGGTAGGTAGTTAGGCAGACATAAGCAGAGCAAGGATGATGGGCCAGGTACAGAAGGTCAGCAGGGTGGAAAGCCCTAGATGCCTAGCAGAAGATAATTGTAGGATGGGACCTCCCCGCAAGGATGACCTTGGTCATGAAGTTTGTACCTCCTGTCTTTCCTTCCTAGAGATAATAACATCTAGGCTTCAGTTGCATTTCAGCTTTAGCCCCGGAAAAATAGCAAAATCAGGCAAGAGACCCCATGGCTGACCTCAGGACCAGCTGCATTGTCTAATGCCCTGGTGCTGACGAATCAATCAGTGGAGACCCAGATCCTGAAAGGATGCACGTGGAGAGCTGCTGAATGTTCTAATAAGATTTTCCCCCAGGCCAGTGTTTCCCAAACTTCTCTCATGATGAGAATCACCTGGTGGAGTTGGTGATTCTCATCATGAGAGAAGTTTGGGAAACACTGCTAGGCCTTAGCCCAGTGATTGGCAAACTGCGGCTTGTGAGCTGTGATTTGCCACTCTGTTGACTAATGAGTTTGCCAACCAATGAGTTTGGAATTGGGGCTTAATCACAAGGAACAACCACCACCTATAATTATTGGAATTCAGAGTCTAGCCGGTTTAGTTCAGTGGACAGAGCATCAGTCTGAGGACTGAAGGCTCCAGGGTTTGATTCCTGCCAAGAGCAAGGGCTCACATTGTGGGCTCAATCCCCAGTAGCGGGTGTTCAGGAGGCAGCTGATCAATGATTCTCATCACTGATGTTGATGTTTCTTTCTCTCTCTCTCTCTCTCTCTCTCTCTCTCTCTCTCTCTCTCTCTCTCTCTCTCTCTCTCTCTCCCTTCTTCTCTGAAATCAATAAAGATAATAAAAATAAAACTTCCCCTGAGACCTCCCCTAAAATCTCCATCCTTAAAACCCTTAGGACAGAGAACCCAGTGTGCTCTCCCTTCTGGGAGCAGGTCCATGCCTGTGGCTTTCCCATTCTTTTAAGATTCCCTTTCCCTCCCTCTCTACCTGTTCCTACCTCCCCCCCCCCCCCCCATCCCTCGCCCCATTACCATTACATTCCTCACTCCCAAGCTCCAAGGGCTCTTTATTTTTTTTACTGGTTTCCTAAGCCCATTTCTTCTAGGAATTATTTCTACCTCTGCGATTTACCAAATAAATGTTCTCTTACATTTTGGGTCTTGGCTCTGAATTCTTTCCTGGCCAGAACCCAAGCACCGAGGTTGCTGAACCCAGATCCAGATCAACCCCACCCGTCTCACACCTAGGACAGATAACGTACAGAAAGGACTATGTTGCCAATGTTACATATACCTCCAAAGAGAACAGAAACTGAACAGAATGTGTACGAATTGCTTCATTTTCTTGAGCCTTTATTAATCCTTACCCAAGGATATGCTCTTGCTCCAATTTAGTCTTATTGGAATTTACAGTTTAAATAGATCAATTGTATGGTATGTGAATTATATCTCAATAAGGCTGTTGGGGGGGGGGAAGCAAACTAGAACATTATAATTCTGAAGGATCCTAATAGGATGGTATTTAATGTGGTTGCTTTCTTCACCATGATCAACATTTTTAAAAAACATTCTGTACATAGTAATAGAATATTGAGCACTTTTGCAGTCATCATTTTTTTTTTTTACCAAAACTTTTGGAGATTAGAAGTGCTGATCAAATATTATATATATATATATATATTTTTTTTTTTTTAGGAACACCCTTCTTATCCCCCCAGAAAGACTGGGCCAGTGGGCATTTCCTTGAGAGTCTAGGGGTCCAGGAAAGCATCCTTTTTAAAGAAATTTCCTGTCAAAAAAGACAAATACAATATACACATAAAAAGAGTCCTAGTATTAGTTGTAAAAGATCTCGTTTCGGAAGTTTTTATAGTGTTAACGTAATTCAATGTATCTCCATCATCATGCTTCCAGAACTGGTGTAGATGTCCTGGTGGACCATCCTAACCAGTTGCTTCTGCTGTGACCCTAGCTGTGGACGCTCCCAGAGCATCGCAGCGGAGGGGCACATGGTCCCCGCCCCCCGCAGTCCCCCTGCCCGCCCCCCCCCCCCCCCCCCCGCCTCCCGCCGCGGCTGCGGGCCACGTGCGGCCGCAGGTGGGGGCACCTCCCAGCTGCACTGCGAGCGGGTTTCCCCCGCGGGGCGAGGGCTGGGCCGTGCCGTGCCAGGTGTGGGACTGCGGCATCCGGCTCATGAGCAGCCACAGATTTTTTATTTTTATTTTTATTTAAGAGAATGGCGAGAGAATCTGGAGCACGTAGTAGGCTCATTTTTGAGGCTCTCCTCTCCCCTGGAAAGTTTGTGTCAGCGGGGGAGTGGGGGCCCCACCATGTCGCTCTTAGTCTTCCCTCTCGGGGAGGCAACTCCTCCGGGCGCCCGCACTTGCACGAGTAGCCGGACCAGACTCCAGAGAGGAGAGGGGCCGCGGGGGCCGGGGAGCGGGAGGGCGCTCCTTTCCCCGGCCGCCGGGCGGGGGGCGGGGACGCAGGGGCGGGGCAACAAAGGTCGGCGATTGTTCCCGGAGGAAGCGGCCGGCGCGGGCGGCGGCGCGCAGGCCCCGGGCGGGCGGTGTAAGGAGCCGAGGGGCTCGCACGGGGAGAGCCGGGCCGCGCGGAGAGACCCCCCAGGGGTGCGGGGCGGGGTGTTCCAGTCCCCGCCCTCGTTCCCCGCCCCTCCCCCCGCCTCCGGCGCGCCCCGCCCCCGCCGCCCCGCTGCTGGCTGGAAAGTTTCTAGAATCCCTTCCCGGCGGCCTTTGCGGTTCCAACATGGCGGAGCTGACGGTGGAGGTTCGCGGCTCCAACGGGGCTTTCTACAAGGTACCCTCCCGCCGCTTTGTCGGGTGTCCGGGCGGCCGGGGCGGGTGTGGGGGGGAGGCCCGGTGGTGCCGGCGGGTGAGGTTTGGGGTCGGCGAGGGTGGCCGGGCGAGCAGCGCCCGAGGGAGGCCTCTCGGGGTTCCCTTGCGTCTCCCCCCCCTCCGCCCGCGGTTTAACGGTCTCGGGGTCCGGGGCTCCGTTATGTTTTGAAACAAACGTCGGACGCGGCTTGCGCTCGCCTCCTCGCGGACCTTTTCCCGCGGGCGCCGCCGCCGGGGCGGGCCTCGGCCGGCCGGGGAGGGGAGCCGGGTCCCCGCGGGCGGCGGGCGGCGGGCGGCGGGCGCGCCGGGAGGGAGCAGGCCCAGCGCCGCGGGGCGGGCGGGGGTCCGGGGGGCGGCGGCGGGGATTGTGCGGTCACAGCCGCGCTCCCGCCCCGCCTCTCGGGGGCCGGGGCCGGGGCCGGGGCCGGGGCCGGGGCGGGGGGCGCGCCGCGCAATCCGCGGGATCCACCTTTGTCCTGGGATTGATGGGGGGCTAATAAACTTGAGCGTCTCCAGGAGAAGCGGGGACTCCATGGAGGGTTAGAGTCGAAGGGAGATAAACGAGAATGAATCCCTTGAACTGTGGCGGGCTAAAGTCTTTTTCTTTTTCTTTCTTTCTTTCTTTCTTTCTTTCTTTTTTTTCTTTCTTTTTTTGCGGCCTGGGAAATTGGGCGGCGCCGGAGCCCCTCTTAGTAAAAGGGAGAAAAGGGGAGACTTCCCGGCCTTCAAAGTATGATTTTAAAAAGGGAAAGGGGTCAGGGAAACAGGTAGGGAGGTGACCGTGTTCTTGATGGCCAGAGCCCAGTGGTTTTGGAAGGTAGTGTTTTGTGTGTTTTTTTTTTTTTTCTTCTCCCCCCTCCTCCCCGGCCCCCCACGAGGGTTTTTTTTTTTTTTTTTTTTTTTTTTTTTTTGGTTTGTTTCCACGGGGAGGAAGGAGATTCATTGCTGTGGGGTTTAGAGCAGGAGAGAACTTAGTAGGGTTCCGAGCGTAGTAGGGAGTCACGTCGCTCAAAATGAAATCCTTCAGGGTGGAGTTGTGCCATTGTAACGGGTCTTTCTCCCCCCCCCCCGCCCCCGCCCCCGAGTCCGCCCTGCCCCCAAAGTATGCCAGGGTGTTACAAGATCAATACTACAAAGTCTCCCCAGCTGTTGTCTGTCAGTCAGCCTCCCTAAGCCGGCGTCTCAAATGCTTGAGAGCTCTGGCTATTTTTATGAAGGGGCCCTCTCCTGACACAGGACTGCCTTTCATTCCTGCGAACCTTTTACCCCACGGAAGTTTTATTTGGTGGTCAACATTTCCTATTTTCAGCGCGTTTCTCTCCCCCCCCCCCCCCCCCCCAATCCCTACCTCCTTTCCCGGTTTACTGCTTAGCTATGTAGATTTGGTTTTTACTGTCACCTGTAATGGCATAGTGGGAAGGAAATCACCGTTGGCGTCTAAAATGATCTCCCTAGGCTTTTGACAGCTTTAAACCGCCTTAGGTGAAGAACACAGTAAAAGTGGTGCGATGGGAAGAGATTTTAATGCATGGCTAGTGAGTTATATCAGCCGTCTAGGGGTAACACTTGGTGTCAGGCAGGCCCTGGCTGGGTGGTTAAGTCGGGTTGAGGGTCCTCCCAACTTGCCAGGGTTGCTGGTTCCTTCCATCCTGGGTCAGGGCACATACAAGAACCAAGCTATGAATGCATAAATAAGTGGAACAACGAATTGATGTTTTCCCTCTCTTTCTTAAACCAGTCAGTAAAGAAACAAACTTTAGTGTCAGACAAAGGGACCTAAGTAAAATTGGAGTAGCTACTTCATTGACTTATGTTCTTATCGAAACCTAGAGCTTGCCTCTGTGAATGAGTGCAGGCAGAAGGCACAAAGAATGCATGGGCTTACCATACTTTTTCTGTCAAGGGTAAATAAGGTTGATAAGCTTTGCATCAGTATTCCCTCACCCATGGAAAAGTTTTAATTTCTCACTATTTGATCCCACAGTTCTTGTGTAATGGAGGCATGCTTTTTTTTTTTTTTTCCCCTCCCCATACTGAAAAGGACTTTTGTCTTAAATTATTTTGCAGCATGTAGAACACCATTGCTTTTTGGCTACAGTATTTTCCGGTGTATAAGACGACCCCCTCTAATTTTACAGTTAAAACATAGGTTTAGGCCTATGTTCGCTGTATAAGACTACCCCCCACTTAAAAGGAAAGATTTACTTTGCCGTCAAGATCTGCAGGTAATTTTTGTGCAATTTTGGTCTTTTGCCCCCAATTTTCAGTTGACTTTTTTGTTCCAAAAGTCGTCTTATACGCCGGAAAATACGGGTAAGTATACTCTATGTTGTTTGCTACACAAGATAGCCTTCATTTCTTTTTCCTACAACTCATTTATAATCATCATTGAAAGTTTTAGTAAAAACTGTTTACAGTCTTACTTTGGCTTCTGAGTATCAAAGTCACAGTAAGTCATATGTCCCTACTTTGGAACTCTAATGGTACCTATTATTGAGCCTTAGCCACCTATCTGCTAGATTCTACTTAGACTTTGATTAAGTTACTCCGTGTTACCTAACAAAGAAGTGGTTCTTTGGCAAAGGTTGGGAAGGACTCCCTAGCCGTGTTTTTATGTACTAAAATAATTGCATTTGGACATTTTAATTTTACTTTTGCCATAATCCACTGGTACATGCATTTTGTGGAAATTGTGGTCTGAAAATTTCTAGGAGAGAGAATGGTGAAGTAGAAGGAAGACCTGGATTTGAAGTTAAATAAATGGGAATTCTTAGGTCTGTACTTCAGCTTACCATTATTTAGGAATGGACCCTGAACAGACCTTTCTGGGTCTGTTTTCTTTTGTGTAAAATGAGGGGATTGAAAGAGCTCAGGGTCCCCAGTATTTTTTTTTTTCTCCTACTTGGAAAAATTGGCTTAGCACACCAGCACTTTTTTATTTTTGACTATGTAAATTTAGATTAATTGGAATATAGTAAAATTCACCTTTTTTAAACACAACTTTATGAGCTTTGATAAATGCTCACAATTGTGTAACCATCGCCAGGATGAAGAGATAGAATAGTTTTACCATCCCCAAAATTTCCTTTATTCGCCTTTGTAGGCAACTTCTCTCTCAGGTTTTCTATTCCCAGTTTTGCATTTTTCAGAATATGTCCTATTTGTAGAATCATGCGCTTTATAGCATTTTGAGTGTGGCTTCTTTCATTTAGTGTAGCAGCAATTTAAAGTATTTTTTTTTCTAATTTAAATAATGCATGGTTAGGGAATTTAGGAAACTGATCAGAAATTGCCTTGAGAATAACAGCTAACATTTTGGTGTGTTTTTTCTTTCAGTTGTGTTTTTCAATGTAGAGGTGACTGATTTTCCTTTTTTTCTCCCCTTCCGTCCATATGCACAGACACACACTTGGATCTAAATGTGAATTGCCAGTGGCCCTGGCTGGTTTTCTCAGTGGTTAGAGCATGGGCCTGTGGTCCAAAGGGTCAAGGTTTCGATTCCTGGTCTAAGGCATTTACCTCAGTTTTGGTTTTGATTCCCTGACTGGCCTGGGCTCTTGCAGGAGGCAACCAATTGATGTTTCTCTCTCCTTCCTCCTCCCCTTCCATTCTATGAAAAATCAATGAAAAAAAAATATCCTTGGTTGAGGATTAGATGTGAATTGCCAATGAGGAACTTCAGTCATGGGATTAGTGTAGTAATATCATTCTGCCTGAAGCAGTACTCTGTAGACATAGATGAAAGATTTCCTCCAGGAATCGAAACTTCATTTCACAAATATTGGAACCAATGAGTAGCTGAAGATTTTACCATAAATTAGGATATCCTTCCTCCCCCCCACCCCCCCCCAAAAAAAAATACTTACACAAATGATAGCATGTTCTGTATCTTTCTTTCTTTTTTGAGGGAGGGAGAGAGAATCATTGATTTGTTTTCCCACTTATTTACTCATCATTGGTTGCTGCTTTTATGTGCCCTGAGCAGAAGTGGAACCTGAAACCTTGAGGTACCTGGAGGATGCACTAAAGCAACCGAGCTACCCTGTCAGGACTGTGTCTTATTATAATTTAACAGTGAATCTATTAGAGATAAAGACTTGATATTTTGTTTGCAGTCTTATAAATCTATGGGGATTGGAACAAATAGAAGATAAGTTAATTAAGCACTTGATAGGAGATGCCCTTTTTATATGGAAATTTGCCTTTTCTACCTGGAGCATGGCATTTTAGGGTTTATATTACTAGCCATTTAAGATGCCTTTTTTTTTTTTTTTTAAAGCTGTGAGTTAGAATTTGCAATCTATGATAGAGTATTTACAGCGTTGTGTAACCATTACCACAACTTTATTTTAGAACATTTCCTTACCCCCCAGGCCCCAAAAACCTTGTGCCTATTTAGGGTCATTGAAATGCTTTTTTTAAATGGTGTACCTGATATTAAGCTTTGTAATAACATTGAAAGTTGCCTAACTATGGGCAGGATATAATTTTAAATGTAAGTTGAAAGTCACTCAATTTCTGGCTCGGATAGAGGAAAGTTTCCATGGTGTTCCAAGGCAATGTGTAATCTCTAAGATGGTTGAATGAAATATTAGGCCCTCTCTATAGAAAATAGAACTAAGTACTTTTAGAGTTTTGTGAGTTGTTCTTTGACTGTATAATTGACTACAAAACAAATTTTAAAGTATATTTCAAAATCTTATTAGCTTAATTTAATATTAAAATTAAATTTGATAAAGTTATACAAGTTCTGCATCACTAATGATGATGACCTATGGGGTAATAATGAAGGAGTTGTATTCTGAGAGTGTAATGACTTCAAAGTTAGTATACATTAGTGTTGATTTCTTTATGGAGGTTAGTTGATGAAAAAGTGGTGGTTGTCAGTAATACTAGGGACACTTAAAAATATACAATTCCAGGTATTTAAAAGATAATTTTGAGTTTCACATGTTTAAAATG